TTCAGCGGTTCGAATCCCGCTGAGGGTGTTGATAAGACCAGTTGATGCGAGGTCTAAACTGCAGTCCACTTCTGTATGGATGAGAACAACTTTTGGGAAAGCAAGGCTATGTGAAATTCAATGGAAACGTCAGCTGCTGGATGAGAACAACTTTTGGGAAAGCAAGGCTATGTGAAATTCAATGAAAACGTCAGCTCAACTCATATCAATTCGTGGCAAATTTCTTCTTCTACCAGTCCTCCATCACCTAAAACGAAATTGGGTGAATACATCTCGTATTACTGATTAAAGCAAGGTTGAAAACAACTTTTGGGAAAGCAAGGCTATGTGAAATTCAATGGAAACGTCAGCTCAACTCATATCATTGTTGTGGGAAAATCCTACTACCAGTCCTTCATCACCTTACACGAAATAGGGTGAATACATCTCATTACACTGATTTACTGGTAGTACTACCAGTCCTTCATCACCTTACACGAAATAGGGTGAATACATCTCATTACACCGACTACCAGTCCTTCATCACCTTACACGAAATAGGGTGAATACATCTCATTACACTGATTTACTGGTAGTCACTTCCAGTCCTTCATCACCTTACACGAAATAGGGTGAATACATCTCATTACACTGATTTACTGGTAGTCTCGATTCCTTCATCACCTTAGACGAAATAGGGTGAATACATCTCATTACACTGATTTACTGGTAGTCTCGAAACCCTTACTTCATACGAATAGTTAGCTTTAATTTGGTTATGACGATGATACCATTCTCTGATGAGGTTCGTCATATGACGGACGAAAGCTTGTCACCTTTTCACCGGAATCGAAGGAGATTGCCTTGGAAACAGAGTCAGCATGAATCTTCCAGTAGAGCCAATCGACAGCTGGTCAAGAGGAATTTGGCGTCGTCTTCTGGTGAAACCGACCTTCGAATCTCTTCACCCAACACTTCTGCTCTAAATGGAAGTAAGCTCTACAATGTTCTAGTCATATGGGACTTGAGAACCCTAATCATCCCCTACCCCTTCATCCAAAGCCTATCCAACAGGCATGCATGATACATTTTCGATTCCCCACCCACTTGTTGCAACACATCCACAATCGGGCTGCATGGCCAAGTGGTGACACGTGGCCATGAGGTGGGCACATGGTCGCTTCCAGTCCCACATGGGTTGTCTAATAGCTGACGTCGATAAAGAGGAGGAGGATGGCATTGTTGCTGATGCCGATGATGATGGCGGCGGGGCATCATGTTGATGGATATAAGCTGCAGTTCATCCTGGATGGATGCGCTAACAAACAAATCTTAATGGTATCGAAATGCACAATGAACTCTCCCTCTCAGTTCAGCTATGCAGCTCAAGCATCAGCCCGAGATCGTCAATGAGATCAATGATGATCCTCGTCCCAATACAGCCTTGCCAGCGTTGGGGTTGCTGAAACACTAAATGCTAAAATCAAAGATGAGCCGAGTGAAGTATATCAACTTATTAACATCAACCCTTGAGCCGAGTTTGGACACATGCTTTGCAAGCCGATGTTGACATTTGTGAATTACATAACAAATGAACAAATAGGTTTGCAACAACTAAGAACTTGACATTTTGAGCATACGCAAAAAGTGTGGTCCATTCCATATCTTACCTAACTAGAATACGGACGGGCAGAAAAATGAGAAGTTTGATTAACGGATCAAATGTAACTAATGGGCAAAAGGTATTACCATGACAAGCCAGCATAGTTGCCTCAGAAGGGATGTCATGGTTTGACATACACAAAAGGCATTGCTTGCTTCTTAACTTGATATGACGGGATCTGACGAAATATAGACTATTGAATGCCGCTGCACATCGGATACGCATTTATGAGTTTGATCATAAATTGGAGTCGTCATGGATACACCTTACCCTTTTTAATATCAACATTGTAAACAGCCGACCAGCAGATGACCTTCCCACGGATACCAAATATTTAAATATTTTCCATTACTGATCACGAGTCCAATCAAAATTGCAGTAAAATGTAGTACAGAGCTGATGTTTACCTACGTCCTTCCCTTCAAAGCTTGAATAGAAAAACACGAAAGCACCACATCGTCAAGGGTGCAGCGTATTTAGTCGTTCGAGAAAGAAGTCTCATATAATGCGTGGAATTTCGTTCAAATGTCAATGGAAAGGAGTAATATTAAAACAGTTTTAGAAGGGTAATTAAGACTCACGACGACAGACACATCGCTAGTCAAAGGGATACGAAGAAATGCCGTTGGCAGAGATTACCATGTTAACGCCGTTGTAGTCAGCATATGTATACTTTTTTCGTAGAAGATTGGGTTTTCGAGACTACCAGTAAATTAGATATATGAGATGGACTGGTAGTTGAATTTTCCTACAATGACATGAGCAGAGCTAACGCTTAAATTTAATTTCATATAGCTTTACTTTCCAAAAACATGACGTTTAAATGGCAAAAACTGAATTACCACGAATCTAATTTTCATTCCAAAAATCTTTCTTTGATGGTGTGACCAGAAAGACGTTGTTGCCTTAAGTACGGTCTCTTTTCGGCGTATAGAAGTTGTATGATCTTATTTTCGCAACTTGGGCATATTGGTAGGAAGAAAAAGAGGAACGCACCTTGTCCAGAGTACATAGTATACATGATCAACTCCAGAGTCAGACCATAGATTTGGTACATTCTCAGACATTTCGCTGGCATCATCATGTAGCTCTGCCATTCTTAGCACCAAACTAGAACTCGCCAAAAAGTCAAGTGACCAAATGTCTGCTAAGCAGCTGTGGTATCTCTCTTTCTATTTTTGCGTATTCACCTATCCCCTTCAAGGCCTCCATCTCTTACTTGTTTATCTAAGCCTAGTTGAGATTTATTTCCACTCCGCATTTGTTTCCACATCCCTGTAAGTAAAAATGCCACAAGGCCTCCAACATCCTGCAAGTTTCCGAATATACACAATGAAGGGATTCCGCTAAGAGTGACGATCCACAACAAGCATGGAGCAATGCACAAATGATCAAAAATCATTTCTTGAAGCTTAGGAAAGTCAATGACAGATTCTCGAACACTGTGAAGAATTGATATGAATTTTCTCAAAGGATTCAAAAGATTGGGCTAGTGAGTACAGAAATGTTGCTAAGTTTCAACATATAATCCATGTAAACAAACCTCGTAGACGGAAATGTAGTTACCACCCTGCTGGGGAACTCGTAATAACAAAGAATCCGCAGAGACATGAATACAGATAGATCCAAAATAGCGAAACACATTGCACGGACGGGGCAAGAATCCGAATGAAAAGTGACAGAAAAGCTGGCTGCATGTGGTGAAAATAAGGAATACGCATGATCCGAGATGCCATCGATATCCTGACTGAAATAAATTTAATGAAAAGAAGAATTGAAGAAGGCGAGACTAGCAAAACCTTTGCCTATTATGGAAGCTAGCTCGGAGGAGATCGGGGAACAGCAATCTTAGCAAAAGAAGGCGACTAGATCAAGGTAATATTTTTAATTTTAAGAAGATGAATTACAGGGAGACCAGAGGGGAGCAATCGGAAACTAAGGTGAGACGCTAATAGTTAGCTTATTCAAATCAAGTATAACCCTCACATTTTGGGATCAGCCCACAAGAGACTAGGGCATAAGAATGTTACAGATATGACAATAGGGATAGAGGAGCGAGAGATGCGACAGAGACCATCGGTAGTCGGTTCTTAGTAGATACGTTTGAACATATACATGGTCCATTAA